AAAACTGTCCCATTGTGGAGAGCCATAAGCTACTACAGTCACAAGCTCCTGCCCAATAGGGCCTATGTGTGATGATGTGGGAAGTGTTGTCCTCACTCAAGGTTAAAGAACCAATGACCATATTACAAAGCAGCCCTTGTGAGCCACTACAAATCCTCACTGCTCAGACCTGGAGTCTGGAAAACTTGAGAATGAGGCTGAATCACCAACAGTGAGCCAATGGAATAATAGGAATAGATATTTTTATATAATGCTGACTTACCAGATCAAATCCAAGTCCTGCTGGCTGAACAAACAGCTGAAGCACAATAAAAGCCACTAAACAACAGCAAGTGAACCAACCCAATCAATATAGAATCAAAAAGTCCTTACATGAGCATCTTTATACTTCTACATCCAAAAGTACTAACACGGACCAAGCACAACAGGGAGACTTTCCAGTGCACATCATCTGAGCCATGGGTCTGGCAGGGGTAAACCAGCCATTCTGTTTATCCCTTAAAGAACGACTATTACCAGAATGGATCCCTAAGGAAACAAAAATGTCATGTTCCCTCAGAGATTGCCTTAATGATCTCTCAGGCAGAGACACATCATTCTTCATTTATTTTGTGTACCCACACTCAAAAACACCATGAGGGCTACATACAAATCAGCTCACCACATCACATACACATGCACACACAGCCTTGACTGAACAGGCAAGGTAAATATGACTCACAGGACATATTTTAATTGGCTGCCAGCAGCCGGATATGTGTCTGCAGTCTATCTTACTGTCTGCACACTTACTGCATCTGACGACCAGTTAATATGCAGTGCAAAAGGCCGGCTTTAGAACAATGTGTGCATACCAGAAAAGCTGGACGCCAAGTGAACAAACATTTAAATTAAGAAGTAGATACAATGTTTTGGCTACTTCCTCTCAAGAGGTAAGAACAGCACTGGTCTCAGAAATCTGTTTATCAGAGGATAACATCTTTTTCAAAAGGCTCCACCACCTCTTGAATATTTATTTACTAAGCCAAAAGAAAAACAAACAAATAGCTGTTAGTTTTTGTGTGGCTTTTACACCACACTATGTCTTGGGACTGCACAATATGATATTTGGTAATGAAACCACAACCTAGGATACTGCTAATTTTTTCTGATTATCATCTAGTGTCACCAGTTATTAAATAAAGGCACAGCCCATGTTGACTGCAAACACGTCTAAGAACATAAAAAATAAAATAAAATTTATAAATCTTTTGTAACCATTAGATTGTTTTTTCCTTAGTAGCTATATACTGTGGGCACGCACAGCAAAAGCATACATGGCTCCGCAGGGCCATGACGGTGTTTTACAATACAATATTTGCCCATACATACTATATGTTTTTATCCAAATTACATATGAGAAAGCAGGGGTTATATTATAGTTGAAGACTTGACGGTAATATATTATTCATAACACTGGATATTCTTTTGAATGCAAAGACTGTCTCATGCTGAGAGTGCATATTATGGATTGTTTGCAGCCTATACTACAGAGCATCTGAAAGTTCAATTATAATGTCTGTTACAGTGCATTCACACATACAGATACAAAGCAGATGGGCGAATCTTTAGTTATGGGGTGTGTTGTGTTGAGCATGTATTGTTTTCTGAAGTGTCTGCTATACTACTGCTGCTATTTTATGCCCCTGTAACAGTGTTTTTTTTTTAAACTCTGTTGACAGGACTGCAAAGACAGGTCTCATTCACGGTGAATGGCACATGTCACTGGCCCAGCCTCTTGAATCCATATGTGTGAGCCCATCATTATAGTTAAGTCAGTCCTTAATGTTTCATTAATACAGTTTAACATGCAGGAGGTTCTGAAGGCTCATGTAGTGGATGTTGCTGACACACAGGAAATAATTCCACAATGAGTGAAAAAGAGTCAAAAGCATCTCCAGACATTTTTACTCCAGAAACACACCAGAGACATGACTGTCTGTCAAACAGCCAAGAATAACCGCTGGCACAGATGATGAGGAGCTCAAGGACAGTCTGACATGAAAATAATTTTGACTTCTTCCAACAGTCTGACAGAAGTGTATGTGTGCAAATGACAGCAAAAAAGACAAATGTGGGTTCTGCTTTAATGGGATTATTTCATGCTTTACCTCTATGTCTTATGGTCTCTTTGTGAACAAGAAGGTTTTCTAATATTCAGGCCAGTACATGTGTGATTACGCCATCTGAAATAATGTACATTAAAGGACTTAAAAGGAAATCTTGAACTTTTTTCTGCTCCTACAGGACTTACTGATTTTCTCTTCTTTATACAATGGTACACTGAATACATATTTTTTTAACTAGTTGGAAAAAAAATCTAATCATTTGAAAACAAAACCTTGGGCTCAGTGAAGTTTTGACTTTTTCATTATTCAGTGACAGTTTGACATTTTTATTCATAACAAAAATAATTTAATTAATCTGTAAACAAAAGAACTCAGTTGCAGCCCTGACATGGTGCTTTATAGACTGTTCCACTTAAACTACATATATGGGTGGACTGCAATGTGACAAAAGTGAAAACTAAATCCAGTAGCAGAGCTGTAGCCATAGAACCATTTACATGTCATGATCAAAGCAGCTGTGCAGCATTTAGTAGTTAGGGTGTCACTGTGCAGGGATATTGATGGCAAGCAGGACATTGTTTCTCATTTTATGCTGTTGTGTCTTTTTATTTCATTGTTGCAGAAAAGTCAGCATTAGCAATCTGGGTGTATTTTGTGTTCCTACGACTTTCTGGGAAATGCATATAATTTTTTGTACAATGCCTTTGTACAGGCAGACATTTGCTGCCCACTTCAGAGTGTGTCCTTGAGACCTGCGTAACATAATAATCAGTTCGATCTAAAAAAATCTAGAAAATCCTCATATTTGAAAAGAAGGAAGCAGAGCTTTTAGAAAATCTTGCCTGAAAATTTATTTATACAACTAACTGATTAAGATTTTTTTTTTTTGTGAAGTTTCTGGCGTATATACAAGTTAATCAGCTAACAGTTTCGGCTCAAACTTCACAAAATAAAACGAATTAAATGTAATCAAAGAGCACAGAAACAGACCCTCTGTGGCAGCCAGAGCTACTGTTGGACAACCAAAGGTCATCTCTCCATTATGCCCTCAGCACCATTTATGCATCACAGGTACACATCCTATATTTGTGTTGAGTCTTATGGAAGCTTAACAGCACCGTAGGACTCACATTTGTTTTCATTTTGAGGAACTCAAATCTCTATATCTGGCTTTGGACCTCAGAATCATTAAAAAAAATAAAATAAAAGTTCTTATACATTAGTCCAGGTGATAATAATCATGATTTAGCCTGGAATTCAATCTGTGAATTGAGAGCTGATAATAGTTTGATTTAAAAGGGCATTTCAGTGCTCTGCCAACAGAACATAAAAGGTTCTCAAGAAAAAAAAAACACTTTAGGGATATCAGTGTAATGCAAAAGCCAAACAAAATAGGAAACATGCTCTGTGTGTGTGTATGTGTATTTGGGGGATGTGGGGAAATTGGTTTATGAGTCTGACAGACAATTAAAACGGCTCTTAGTTTGAGGAAATGACAAGGTGTGTTGCTGAGAAGCCTGAGGTGGCAGGCCTGGCATTAGTCCCACTGAGCAGCACATAAACATATCATTCAACTTCATGTCGGTTGTTTTAAAGGGGCACTACATCTCTTTTAACAAACAACCTGTAAATGACTACTGCTCACTTCAAAATGCAAGTCCTTTAGTGCCAGCACAATACTACAGTCTCTGCCATCCGCTCCAACTGACTCCTATTAAATTACTACCCTTCTACCGCAATTTCATCCAGGGCTTTAACTGTTGGTTATAAGATTTGCTTGGCGGCAGGCAAAGCAAAGTTCTTACTGAACAAGTCATACATTCCAGCAGAGAAGCACAAAAACTGGGCAATAAATATGCTAAATGAAAATGTATCTTGTGAAAAACCAGCACTGCTGACAAACAAAGATAGCATGCGACATATTCAAGGGCCATTTAAGAAGAAGGAGAGGATGCAATGCATACAGATGGATCATCTGCTACTGGGAAGCTCCTTAAGGTCTGCCTTCTCTCTCTCTCCCCCTCTCTCTCTCCCTCTCTCTCTCTGTCTGTCTCTCTCTCTCTCTCTCTCACACACACACACCTACACACCTCAACCATAACCACTACTTGCCTAACACCTAACCCTGACCCTAACAATTATCCTAACACCTAAACCATGTTGCCACCCTAAAATTCTGTGATTTCCTTGTGGGGACTAGCTTCTGGTCCCCACAAGGATGGCTGAGTCCCCATAGTGTGAGTGTGTTAACAGGTTTTGGTCCTCATGATGCAAGTAATACGAAGGAACACACACACACACACACACACACACACACCCTTTGGTTTTCCATTTCCAAAGGATTTTCCAAAACACCAGACTCTGTCCTATTGGTTTAGTCTACTGACACTCGCCTCTGGTGACCAGGAAAGAATCTTTCTGTGCCACTATTTCCCAAACTGTCTTTCTTCATGCTCCTTCCCCCATTCCAAAATAAAGCTGGAATACCCACTGGAAAGGAACTCCTTTCTCATAGCCCTCCCAAATTAAATATTTGCTTGGGTGAGTGCCATAAGAATGAGGCAACATAAACTAGTAGTTGAGTCTTAACAGCTGTGGAAGGAATCCTGTTTATCAGTCACCAAAGAAAACTGCACTCTCCAGAGGAAAACTGCCTCATGTTGCACCACAAGCGCATCTACAGTAGAAGATGATTCCACTGTTCTTGAGTGGCATCTATATATTATATATGCCAAATGATGATCTTAATACCAGGTAAATACTTGGGAATTCAGAATGGAGATACACTGCCAACCCCCAATGACTCAGACTGGCACTCTGAATGAGCTTTCTTTTTAGGTCTTCTTTGCTCAGGCAGCTGTGTTTATAACTGTACGTGTGTGACTGTGTTACCTTGCAAACTGTTTCAGTATCCCAGGGCAGGATGGTCTGCAAATCGATGACTTCACACGACACTCCCAGTTTCTCTTGAGCCATGTTGGCCACCTCCCTCATCACATGAACCTGAAGAAAAGGAAGAATGCCTTTAAATTTAGTGAGCTAATGCAGTTTATAGTTCAGCTGGGGTTTTATCTCTGCTACAGCATAAACAGTCTTAAATTTGTTATGCATTACATGTGTTAACATTCTAATACACTTGCACAAAAATAAAAAAATAAAAATAAAATCTAGGGTGATGAATAAAAAAAATGTACACTGTCATATTATTTCCAGATGCTGCAGAGCTGTGTGTTATATACAATTTTAAAGCTGTTGCAAAGTGTACAATAAAAACTAATAATTACATAGTTGTCTTACATGTTTGCATTAGATTTTCTGTTACAACAATGTGCATTTAGAATGGCTCATAGTGCTAAAATGTATTATTATGAAAGATATGTTCAAAAAGGCCTCATAAACCATGTGTCACCTTTTGTGTTGTAAACCTAACTTTAATTTGATACAACTGCCATTTATACACATCAATCTACATTTAATGACCCCCAAGTGAGAAGATATTTTTAGAAATGTTTGAATATAATCAAAAATTAAATTCCCTCATTTGCAAAAGTATCCAGGCCCTTAATTCTGCACTTTGTAGAAACCATCCGACAGCAATTACAGCACTGAGTCTGCAGGGCTCTCCACAGGTGTTCAGTGGGGTTTAAGTCTGAACTGGCCTGGATGCACTCCGGAGCAGGTTCTCTTCAGGGACCTCTGGGTTTGACTGCATTCATCCTTCCCTCTGTTCTGACTAGTCTCCCTGTCCCTGCTGCTGACATGCACACCCCATAGCCTGGTGATAAGCAGTGCCATAGTGCTTAAGATCTGCCAAAAGGGTTTAACTTTTATCTCACCAGACCAGAAAATATTTTTCCTCATACTCTCGGGGGTCCCTTAAATGCTGTTGACAAACTCAAAGTAGCTGTCATATTTTTTTACTCACAGTTTCATCTGTCTAGCCACTCTACCATAAAGGTCTGACTGACAAGTGCTGCAGAGATGGCTGTCCTTCTGGTAGGTTCTCTATCTCTGCAGAGGACCTCTGACAAATCCTGGTGGTTCCAAACTAATTCCATTTTACAATTATTGAGGCCTCTGTGCTCCTGGGAAAAATGGCAGTTTCAGAAATGGTCTTATACCTTTTCCCTGAATTGTTTTGTGGAGTTCATGGCTTGGTTTATGTCCTGACATGCAGTGTGAACTGTGGGACCAAATAACACAGGTGTGCCTTTATAAACCATGTCCAGTCAGTTCAATTTACCACAGGTGAAGTCCAATCAAATTCCAGACACATTTCAAGCTGCACCTGAGTCCCACACAAAATGTCTGTCCCAGATGGTAAAAAAAAAGCTCAATAATTGTAAACATTAAAAGTATTTTAGAACAATGCAGCCATTACATAATAATAGGCTAATCCACCAGACCTTTCTAAGGAGGAAAACAAAGTTCCTCTGTTTGACTAATCAGAAACTTTCACTGAGAGGACTGGGCATCGCTCCTTTCAATACACTCTGAGCAAGTTGTCTTCTTTACCCACACCTCCACAGACCTGAGGCATGAAGGATGTAAGAGAGGTGGAAAAGAAGAACAGCATCTTCAAAAGGAAAGCCACTCTTCACAATTCTTTGCTGGATCCCTTGTCTTCTCTGTCCACCCTTCAACAATAATACTGGCTTTGATGGAGATGTTTTCCCCTTAGTGCCCTCTGACATTAATTTTCCATGCGACAGGTATGTTAGAGCCTGGATAAGCCTGTTAAAGTGGCTGTGTACAATCAAAGTTGGGGATGACCCCTGGTGAGTATCAGGCACCTTAACATAAGAGCTACAGAAAAAAGAAAATCATCTGGATGAAAAGAAAGGCAATAATGGAAAGCTTCCAGCAGACACGCAGTGGTAACACAGGGAGAGCCAAGAACAATCTTGATGTTGTGGAGATGTCTGGGCCAATACAGCTGCAGACTGCTGACTGAGAGACCCCGCTGGGACAGGGAGGGCTTGTGATAGACTTAAAGTTAATCCACTGCTCATCTCTGTGGCTTTAAATGTCATTTAGGAGTGATGAAACTGGGCATCTTGTTTCCTGTGACCATGGAGAATGAGCCAAAGACAGATGACAACTTAAAACTGCTCAGGTCACCCACTGAGAGTCTGTCAGTGATGCATGAGATCGCCTACCTGTGTCCCCCAGGCAACCAGAGTGACATCACTTCCTTCCTGTAGGATCTCAGCCTGTGAGAGCGGGATGGTGTAGGGCTCCACAGGAACCTGCTCCACTGAGGAAGCACACATAGTAACAGATCTATTGTTTTTGCACACATTACGTACAAGCTCACATGTAAAGTAAATGACGGTCAATTCTGAACACATTCATCCATCATTTCACTCTGTACCCTGCGGTTTACATGTAAAATACTCAGATTCCAAACTGACAGGGTCTCTACATGAAAAACTGGTGAAATAACAGAGCACCAAAGAGTACAAATTACTTTTCTAGAACATTTCATTTGGCCCATTTCAAATGCTTCCTAATGCTTTTTCCAAACCCTTATTTCTCACTAGAGGCCAAGTGTGCTTTTATCAGCACAATCTAATGGATGATCTAATGATAACCTACGCCAGTTTTGAGCCCATAACTCCGATTAATCTTGACAATAAAACACTGGTGGGATGGGATATCAATCAGAAAAGGGGCTACATAAACCGGACATCAGTCCAAGAAGGGAAGGGCCTCGTGGCCAGACACTTTTGGAGCCAAAGTCCAACACAAAGTGCATGTAAGTATATGGTTTGAATAAGTTAATAATGTCTTGGAAAACTTAAGCACAGCCAGGAACTCATTAAATGCAAAAAGTGAAACTACTATCACTTTTAAACATGTAATTTTTTAGCAATATGTATACTGCACAGACATGACATGCAATCACTAAATGTAGCATTAACTATATGTGAATTTTCTTATTTGGAATTGTACCTGACAAAAATGGAAGTTACTGGACTGTGAGTAGATTTTGGGGGGAAATGAACAGCTAAAAGCATTCCTTCATGGCATATTAAGTCATAATTATAGCTAGGCAGAGAAATTAAACTCTACTGAGACCTTTCTAAAAACCTTGAATGACTTCAATGATCCTCTCAAGTTTTCAAGAAGTTGTAAAGGAAAGGAAAAGTGTCCATTTCAGTGAGTTACTATGTGAATACAACATAAATAGGTTGGTGAGACATGTGCACCTTCTAGTTGATGGGGCATTCCAACATACAGAGATAATAGTTGGCTGTCCCTGGATATAGCATTATATATAGCATTTTGCAAAATGATAAATTTGAAGTATGAAAACTAGGTTATGATTTAGTAGCTGGAATGTGAGGCATTACATAACAGTATGACCTTGATGAGACAAATGTGAGGTTTTTAACCTCTTCTGCTCAAGAAAAGAGAGGTCACTGAAATTAAACACAAGACTACATAACCCAAGGAGAGCTAGCTCACTCTGCACCTCAAAAGAACTCCTGAAACGCTACTGTTACTAACCCCCTGTGTGAAGCCTGAGTGATTTGTCATACAGCTGTTTTAACAGTTGCATGACAAATGACTCCTGTAAAGAGAAGATAATCAGAAACAAATGGGGGAGTATATGTTAATGGGGGTGGAATCATACAGTAACAAATTCATTTTAATGTAAAAAGAAAAACAAAGAAACGGGCCCAGCTTCCTACATATATCCATACAGTGTACGTATGTGAAGCAAGTGGGAAGAGCACTAGAATGTCATTTCTCATGTGACCAGACCATAAAACTTTCACATTCTGTTGCTTTAAAACAAAACAAAAAAACTCAAACAATATGGGAGATAATGAATGTAATCAGTGCCTGTGAGCTGATGAGGGGGGTTTAAAATCAGAATGCACTGTAATATGGAAAATGTTTTGGACAATGATCACAAGCCTGTTCCCCTAATTGAAACAATGTCAACAGTCGGTTGTAACAGTTCACAATCTTATCTGACTCTTATCAAAGAGGGAAACTAAGTAAACTAACAAAATCAGAGGTTTCTCTTTGAGTCTGTTAGTACAAATCTGTTCCTCTTCTGTCTTTCATTACTATAATGAGTGCAGACATCATTATCAATCCTCCAATGCTGTCTTGATTGTGGATATTAATTTTTACATAGCCAAGACAGCACTGTTTTGCAAAATCTGCCAACAACTTAACAGTTTATTCAGCTCTGTTAGATATCTTTTTGCATGGCAGCCTGTCTAAAGCCATGCTGGCCTTAAGTTTAACCTGAACTATCTACTACCCTGAACACTGATGTTCTTTTCAAAGTGGCGGCAGGGATTCAGGTCTGCCAAGTCAACACTGCATTTAGATGGTCCGCTTCACACTTGTGACCCTGCTGATCTCACTTGCACTGTTTGCAGTCAGGCATATTGTTTGTTTTTCTAGGGACACCTCTAAAAAGTGGAGAACATTTGTTTTCAATAAAAAAAAAAAAAACAAGCAAACAAATAGAGGGCCGACAAAGCACAGTGCTGGGGGAGCTGAACATTATCAGGGTGGACAAATGAAAAAAGCCAGCTCGGCCTCAGTTACATGTTGACTTCTAACTTCTATTCATACACAATCCAGCTTACCTGCTGCTCTGTACAGGATCTTGGGCTCAAAGAATATGCAGGGGTTCTTGTCAGCGATGCAGGAGAGGAGCAGCCCCTTGGCCTGCACTGGACTACGAGGTATTACAATCTGAGAAACACAAGACTGGTCATCAGACTACCATGTCTATACTACAGAAAAATCTCTAGTCCCACGAAGGTTTAAGTTTTCTTTTTTTTAAACAGAAGAGATGTAATGTAATAGTCAGTGAAAGCTGAAACCAAAAATTTCATTAAGATCAACACAAAAACCCTTCAAACTTGTCATGTCTCTTCTCCCCTCTTGCAATGTATTGGTGCCACAACTTTAGATGTTAAAGCTCTAGATGATATTTGCTTCAAAATTAGGGTATCGTGACAGCACTGGATAAGGCTGTATCAGGCCTGTCATGCTGTGTGTTGGGACTCACCTTCAGACAGAACAAACAATGCAGACTGTACACACAAAGACTTAAACTCAGACAAGATATTTATTGCTCTCGGTGATGATTACAGAGGATGAACTGTAGCTGTCGCCAGGTTTTTCTTTATGTGAAATTCCTTCAAATGATTTTTGTTGTGATTTGCGCTATACAAATAAAACTGAATTCTGCTAAGTTATATATATATAAAAAAAAGCATGGCTGAATGTTATATCTGACATTTTAACTTAGATTTGTTTACTTTGAGCAGATGCTAATAATTCAGTGTCACTATCAGCATTTGGAGCATAATCTGAGCAGTGAAGATTTCTATACAGTGAGGAACAGAAGTATTTGAACACCCTGCGATTTTGCAAGTTCTCCCACTTAGAAATCATGGAGGGGTCTGAAATTCACATTGTAGGTGCATTCCCACTCTGAGAGACAGAATTAAAAAAAAAAAATTCAGGAAATCACATTGTATGATTTTTAAAGAATTTATTTGTCTTGCACTGCTGAACATAAGTATTTGAAGGACCTGAGAAACAGCAAGAATTCTGGCTCTCAAAGACCTGTTACTGTGCCTTGAAAA